TTCTGATTTGCATAATTAGTTTTCAGCTAAGTAATTTCGAATTATATTTAATGTGTCTCCAATACTCTAAGCACATGGGAGTTCTTTCTAAGCTTTCTTTGATTTTTCTTTGTTATTGGTTCATTTGTAAAGTCTTTTTACACCCATCCGACAACCAACTGCTATGCCATACTACTGTCCGATTATAAATTTGTATTTAATGGTGAATGTAGTCTGACGCCATGATCAATATTTATCAATTAAGTTTCAGTGGGGGGTTTTGGGAAAAAAACTAAAAGAATTAAGTTTTTTTATCCTACATTGAACTTTTGATGTTGTCCCTTACTGATAGTTAGTATTACTGTCTAGAGCTTAATTATTCGCTGGGTTTATTTTTTTGCTTATTTTGTTAATAGCTAAATTCACTAAATTTAAAACACAGTGATTAAGCAAAGTTAACCATAGAAAGCTTTGTTTCATCAACTAATCTAAACCCAGCAACACCTAATATTTCCTCTCTCTACATGTACGGTACATCCATCCATCACAAATTCTACAAAACAAATCAGCACAAGTTATAAAGCGCGGTTTTCAAAGTAAATATGGTATATATCAGAACCCCGTTGATGTCTGTTCTGTTGTTTACAATGGCCATTGTTCCCTGCTCATTAGCATAACAATTGTGTCCATACCTGGTTTCTACCCTTGAGTTAGGCCCAGACATAGATATATACAATATCACTACATTTACGATGTACATGTACATACTTGTGGTGTTAAGTTGCTAGTAGTCTGTTGCTTGACTTCAAGTGCCAAAAAGTATGTATAACAAGTTTGTTTTCCATGTGTGCCTTGCAAAGTGGCGAGATTATCTATTACACCGACATATTCAAAATTTCTGGTATTTATACACATGATATGTCCTTTTTACACTGATAAAAATCACTATAGAGGAATGCATGACGATTTTCACCAATTTCCTGATTCTGATGATGCAAGCTACATGTACTGTAAAATGCTTTATTTTTAATAGCTGGAATTAATTTTCGCTGAAAAGACTTTTCGGGTGTTTTGTATTGAATTTATTTTCTCTGATTTTTCTCTGAGGGTGAATGTAAAATACAGGAAAAAATGTATATTCGCTGTATTTTATTTTCACTGAATCATTCCTTCAGTAAAAAATAAATTCCAAGCGAAAATAAAGTGTTTTACAGTCTGTCATCGTTGAGATTTGCTAGATCAATACAGAAAAACTCAGAGAAACAACACGCTGAGTCCGCCGTGTTAGACATTTATTGCGTAACAAATCTGCTCTTCTAAGAAAGGAGAATGTTTTAGATGGGTCTGAATAATGAAGTTTTTACTGTGTGAAAGTGAACTAAATTTTAATCTTTATTTTTTCAGTAAACAACAAATTTAGGTCAGCTTTAAGCAAGCTACATGTAAATGTAGTGTAATTTGTAAATCATGATGATTTGAGAATCTAGTATACATAATTAATTACTACTGTAGAATACTTTATTTAAGCTGGAAATTAATTTTCGCTGAAAAGATATTTTTGGTGTTTTGTATAGAATATAGTTGAATGTAAAATATAGGAAAAAAGGTATATTTGCTGGATTTTATTTTCACTGAATTCCAAGTGAAAATAAAGTATTTTATAGTATTCTTCATTTCAGATTTATCAACATTGTCATTAAAGAAAAAATTAAATTGGAAAAAAAAACATTTTCATTTATTCTAATGAATTTGTTTCATTTAAAAAAACTGCATTTTACCATCATTTAGTAAGATAATGAAATGAGCTTAACTGTGCACATGTCAATAAGACGGTGCCATCAAGTCTGACAAGGTAAAGTTGCAAGTCGTATTGTTTACTGATTGTCCAAGTATTTCTCAGCATGGCTGAAACAGTAGAAGCCAAGAGAAACTTTGATATTTTTTCTTACGATATTGATCATGAAATGTAGCCTTTGAGACTTTATTTATATTCATTTAATAAAATAATTATAGTATAAAAAGTGCAAAACATTTGGATGGAAATGTTATCGGTGATCAAAAGGTTGAATCTTCAGTAGTGTGTTTGTTATTGTTAACATGTAATAGATATTGGGTACAGTTGTGATTTGTTGATTTACACAGAAATATAGATTTCTTTGTTTTATTTTACTTCCTTTTAATGTTTAAAAAGTTAGTTTGTTCTAAAATACTGGTATTATTTATTACGCTACTGTGTTTCCTTTAAAAAGGTCATTGTCCTCGGATGGGTCAAAGGGCACATGACAAATTCAGGGTGTGTATGTGTGTAATTCATAATGCCTGCCAAGAAATCAACTGAGTCATCATCGCATTTTACCGGGAACTTCCTGAATGGAAAGTACATGTGAGATTTTCATCGTGGCTTTGACATGTGGTTCCGGCTACAGTAGTTCCTTCCGATGTACTAGTGTGTACGTGTGTGCTTCAAGTCTGCAGTGTTGCTGTTATGCTTCGTTGACACTGTGCTGCTATTATTGACAGAACACTTTCGTTGGTTAAATTTATAGACTGGGTTAATGTAATCTTTGCATAGCTAGCCTCAAAGCGGTATGTGTAACTTGAATTGTATCTTTTTTAGTAATTGGCTGCCTGTAATGAAATCAGTTGTCGTCATCGTCAACTTTTCTTGTAGACGTGACAACTCCAATAATATTCAGTCGATCATTATTTAATTAATTTTTATGCTTGTAGGTATAGTTAGCCTTTATAGATTTTGGAGTTTGTCTCCCAAAAATTCTATTTTTGTTGATTTTTGAAAGTTTTTTTTTTTTGTGTATTGGTATATAGTGTCTTTTTTTTTTTCGAATGAGGAATTCTTTAATTTTTTTGTGATTTTTATCTTTGAATTATTTTTTTTGTTTCTCTTTTCTCAGCATTTTCTTAGGTTCTTTTATTGTATCTTGGTTTTTGTTGCCGATGTAAATGTTATCAATAACGTTTTGTTCATAACTTAAACATATAACATTTTCAATGAATCTACTGTAGAATACTTTATTTTCGTTTGGAATTTATTTTTCGCTGAAGGGATGATTCCGTGAAATTAAAATCTAGCGAATATACTTTGTTTCCTATATTTCACATTAATCTCATCAAAAATCAGTAAAAATAAATACCCTTTTCAGCGAAAATTAATTCTAGCAAAAATAAAGTATTCCACAGTATTTGTTTTACCATATTAAAGGTAAGTATTGATATTAATTAGCGCTAAACCATTCAGCAAAATAGGGAATCATTTCAGTCATTATTTCAAGCAACCCAGTGCAGTGATCTACTAACCATAAGCTATGATCTTCCAACCCAGTGCAGTGATCTGCCAACCATAAGCTATGATCTTTACTATTCTTAGTAGTCCATCTTCCCATCTTACACTGTGATCGGCCCCATCTATGTAATTATATATCTTCCGATGCTATGATCTGCCCATTCTTACATTCACAGGGGAAGCCATCTGTAGTTTAACTATGTTTTTGCTTTGTTATGATATTTTTGTTTTGCAATACTGGTAGATACTTTATGTTTCTTGCAACCTGAAGATTTGAAGTTGTAATGTCTTTTAAAGCGGGAGAGTCG